GACCAAACATGGGCTAAATATAATGCCCTTGTCGGCACCTATTTATGATTTGTTTATAATTGTTAAAATTATTTTTCATCTATATATTTCGTTAAATCTATAAGTACGACATATCTTCATCACTCATTTTGATGACAATATTTGCATTTTCAAGTCGAAATTCTCGCTTCCGCCACTGTCATCGCTATTCCTGCGGAGGTTTCCCTCTAAGACGGAATGCTCCCTATTTATAATTTAAAGAGATTATGAACAATTCTAAACACGTCTAAACCCGTTGTCACTTACGTTAAGATATAGCTCATGTGTTGGTGTAGATTGAAATTTATCAAAATTTCAAATTAAATTTAACTACATATTTTATTGGACCCACAATTTTTTAATCATTCATTTCATAAACTTTCATAAAAATGCACTAAAAAAAATTAATTTTAGACTACCCAAGGTATAATTGTATATCTAATCAAGTGCGTACAGTTTTATAAGGCTTTCTTTAATATAAATATATAAAAATTAAAAGCATGTTTGAGCCTCATTTTTTGATGAAAATACATTTTGAAATAGTATTTTAATGGAGGGGGTGTGGTTAAAAAATAAAGAAAAATTTTGAGTTTACATGTACTATTCTTTTATTGAAAAATATATTGTTGAAAATAAGAGAAAAAATATATTTTAAAAATAATGAGGACCAAACCAGAGTTAAAGTCTCTATCACAGGATCGTCTCGGTAAATGGAAATATTAAAATAAATGGAACTTGCAATGTGATGTGTGTTGACCACCAATAAATTGGGGGAGGTTGTCGCAAATATCACAAATAGCCAAATATACAGATAAGCATAACTAAAATATAATAAATAAATATAGTGGGCCCAGTTTTCAAGTTGCACTTTATCGATTTGATTAGTGGGACCAACTTTTGAGTGGATCTCCCCCACATGACCCGTGTGAGGGTTTGAACACCAATGTGTATTAAAAATTATGCACAATAAAAATTATTCTATGGACCGTGCTACTCTATTAGATCGGTACTAGATCTGGTAGAGCCAATGAGTCATGGGGGGGTGGATGACAAAACATTTGGGGGGTTTTTTTGAATGATGTGGGTCCCCAAGAACCACCTCATGTGAGGCAAACACTCTACCAGGCCTTTAAAAGGCCTGGTAGAGTAGTTTAATTGTTATTCGATTTATTGTTCTCTGGTACACAATTTATAATCGCAGGCCCTACCCCTATGAGAGGACGGTCGGTTGTTCAGGGTGTACACCCTAGGATGGCTTGTAATAGTATGGCATCTTGCAATTTTAAAATAGAGGAAATTACTTGATTATTCTAATGAATATTCTAAATTTGAAGAACATGTATTGTGTTGGCTCAAGTTGTATTCAACCTTACAAAGATTATATTAAAGCGACCGGTTCAACAAGAGTATTGAGAATTGCATCGACTAACTGTTAAATATTATATATATGTAAAAATAAAGGTGAAAAGTTGTCGACTAGTCAACAAATTGAGAATTTAATTTATGAGTTATGAATTTGATTGAGTGTTCCAGATATTTTTTGTCGAAAAGAAAAGGCGACGGGAAAGTTTTGTTAAGCAACATCATGAAAACTACAATACAAAATCATTGATACAACTTTTATTTTTGTAGCGATGAAAATTACACGTTCTACTATTTACATCCAATTCAACAATGTTATCTTAAAATTTAAACTTCTTCTAAATATCCATTTACAAGTCTATTTGAAATAAACATGTCACGCATTGAGAATTTTGTGTGTGAAATATTTGATTCTAGAATAGACTTTAGCGTCTCAAACCTTCAACCTTTTTATTGGACCCAATACATGGTCATATCTATTTCTTACATTTTTCTAATATACCTCTATATTCTATTAAATAATGGTTTAAATATGATGAGTTTATACTTATTGATAGGGTTGGACAAAAATTAATCTGAACTAGTCAAACGGATCAGCACAATCCAAACCAACTGGTTTGTGTTGGTTTTTTAGTTTAATTGTGTTGGGTTCGGGTTGGGAAATCAAATATTAGGTCATGTTAGGTTGGATTTCAGGTTATCTATTAAAATCCAATCAAGCTCAACCCAACCCAATAAACTAAGAAATATTAAAAGGAAAATTAGTACTTAAAATCAAAAACCAAAAACATAATGATCAAAATTCTCATCTGTCTCGCTTCTCTTCTGCCTCTCATTGTTATATTTGGACTCTACTTAGTTATATATTGATGTCGCCATTTTAAAAATAACATATTTAAAATGACAAAATCGCCGGTCATCACTAAAATGGTACACATCATAAAACAAGTATTCCTTTTGGTATATTGGTTCTCTGTAAAACAAATCTGCAAGTGTCCTGCTTTGTTGTCTGTGTTGTGGTTTCTCGGAGACCATACCACTGGATTGCAGGGTTGGGGATCCACCAGCTATATTTGCGACAAGCCCAAGTCCAAAATCAGAGAGCTTGTCCAATCAGTATATTAGAAGGCTTCAGATCTCCGTGAACATACTTTTTAGGACTATACTCGTGCAGATAAACCAAGCATTTGGCAACTCCTTCCATTGTGTTCACTCGCATAGACCAAGAAAGAGACGCTTCTCCCGATTACCACCGCTTTCTTACCAATGAGTTCCACACCATATTGGAGCAACAACTCAACGCATCCCTTTGGGGGCACAAGGAGCAAACAGTGGTTCCCCTCCATGAATGGCAAGATTCCCCATATTAAGGGGATGGAAGCCTTCAACATCCTTTTCTACTCTTAACAAAATTCATGATCTTCTCCTCGTCCAAATGCTGTTCCAGTACTAGAATGAATGAATGTATGGGGACCCCCAATAAATTTTTAACTTATGGCTCATGTTCAAACTATCTGATCAAGTGGATCTCTGGTATTGCCCAGACTACATTTTGTTTTAGACGACATGAATTAGCATTTTCAACTTATCATGGCAATTTCGTAACTAACAACCAAAAACAATAGTAGGCGTGATGCCCTAAATTGTGTGGTGCAATAACACTGTTCCTCACAACATTTCTGCAAAAAGTGTTGTAAATTGAGTCTTAATACACCAATGCCAAGTTAAAGAAGTCAAATAATAAAGCAATTATCAGAACCTTACATTTAACATTGAGATCAGTAAGATATATGCTGCAGTTAAGAAATAGAATACGAACTAACATGTCAAATATAAGATAATAGTTGAATATCTAATTTCTTAATTCAATGGACCACTCACCTGAAAATAAATCAGAGGAAAACAAACAATGCAATATAGCCAAAAAGCGAAGTGCACAAGCAGCAATTACTTGAGGAAGAGGAAGTTGCATAATAATTCCATGCACAGATGGATTCTCATTAAAACTTGAAACAACTCGAAGAACATCGGTCTCTTTGTAGTCCTCAGGAAGCTCTTCAACAAATGATACAATTCCAACTTCACCACAAGCTTTTACTTTGATGCGAACAAAATATTGTGAATCCATTCTTTTACCGACAAGAAGAATACCAATCCAGGAATTTTTTCGATGGAATTCTTCATTGTACAAATTTCACTTGCTATTCTAGATTTAATACTGTTCGCAATTGAATTTTCATTAAGAATTGTAGCAGTCTTCACGTTAGCTGTTCTAGTTTGCATATAATGGTGAACAGAGTCAGTTTCTTAGAAACATTACTTATACATAGGGAAAACATAAATAATAAGTATTCAGGTATTTCATCCACAATCTGTGCCAGAAGCTTTAAGATCTATGAGCCCAAAATATTGAAGACTAGCCAAGTCATACACATTCTACAAGTAAATCACTGTAAGGAATTCTATCTATCACAAGTCATTTCCCGTTCACAAGTTTATAGAGCCTTCAATGTCTAGTATAATGGAACACTAATAACCAAGGTGCAACTACCAGAATTTATGAATTAACCAACATAGTATTTTATATGAAGACAACTTACTGATAACAAAGGAAAATAATAAGAATTGGATTTTAGGATGGGCATATGATTTCCTTGATAGCAAACACAATCAAATTAAAACATCATCATCTGAGTATGTAACAAACTTCAAATGTCAATTATAGAGTGAAATTTTAAACAAGTTGCCAAATTGAATAAATCAAGGACCTTTATATCGAAAACCTGTTTTTTCCGATATAAGAAAACAAAAAGACATTCTAGACTAAAATACACAAAAACCTATGAACCAGATTATGAAACTTTAACAGAGATATTCTATTGTGACCAATGCCATTAAAATCCGAATACAGAAAAATTTCACATAAAAATAAATCAACAAAAGTCATTACCAATAAGTAAAAAATTCAACAAAAAAGGCACTTGACAATATATCTTTACTTGGCTCTATCTTATTAAGAAGTCCCTCTGAGTTACCATAAATTTACTATTACCTTGATAATATAAGAATTGCGCTTTTTGCTTTTTCAATAAAGGTCCTTGATGCAGACCCAACATAGAGCCCAGGGTATGAAATTACTTTGCGATATCCATTAACTTTTCAACTTAACTGTAAATTTGAAAAAAAAAATGTTTAGGCTGTATGTAACCAATCAAGGGATGGTGAGATCTATTTGTGAAGTCACTATGGTTTCATTCTCACTCTTGCCTCACATGATAGTTCATTTTCTCACTTTATGCACTGATGTGAAACTAACAGGGAAACAACGGAGGCATGATTAACTATCTAATTATACACTAACAAATGCAAGGGGAACTTCTCATTTGCATAACTTCAAGAAATCTAGTTTGGCCGTGTTAGATAAGACTTCAGATTTTCGAAGAGTTGTAGATAAGTAAAAAATCTTGCACAAAAAACAATAAAATACTAAGTTCTAATTCATTTGCACCCTTGCAGTAACAGTTTGTGTTTCACACTAAATATCACTCGATATTGGCTACAAATAGCCACCGGATGAACTTATATCGTGCCTTAAAACCCACCTTAAAGACATAAACACACACTTAAACACAAACAAATGCAGAAAAAGGAAAATCAATCTAAAGAATTCTACTCCAATTATCTCTTTCTTATTCCTAATTCTCTTAAATCATGACATATCAAACCTCAATTAATTCTTATCCTGCTTCATTTTCAATCCAGTAATTTCTTATTAATTAAAGTTTTCAAAAGTTTAATCCAGTAACTATATACTCACAGTTATTTGCAGCAGGCAGAATCTGTGAGCATTGGGAGTCCATTCATCAGGTAGAAGCTATTAAGGAGGTTAGGCCACTAACCACCACCTATTACTCTTCTAAAGGCAATCAGATTCACAATCAAGTTATATTGCTCATCTTGCATAGTATAATTTTTTTCTAGGAGAATTAAAGAATTAACATAATTCTCACGTGATATATAATAGCAATTAATTAACATGTGGATTAAGGAACCTTCATGGAAATCACTAGATGAATACAGAATACTTACGGTTTTCTTTCATACATCTATAAACTTTAAAGATGTAAGTTCATCCAATGCACAAATTTACAGCCAAAACTCAAAATTTAACAGTTCATTTTTTTGCAGAAAGCCCTAGAGTACTAAATTACTAATATTTAATAGAAAAACTTTGCTGTGATGACATGAGAATGTGGCAGAAGAATCGAAATCTGTACCGCTGTACGTGGAATTGACATGCCACCAGAGTGGAATCGCTACAGAGGAGTGATTGAGGCGGCGACCGTGGGGAAATTTTGTTGCAGAAATAAGGAATCCCCTCCAACAAAGGCTCAAGAATCTTACTGGATCTAGAACTGCATCGGCACAGTGTGAAGAACGGTTAGATTGGATTTGGAAGGTTGAATTGTTGAAAGGGGAGGAGATCGGAGACGGGGGTGGGAGTGAAAGGAGTGGTGAGTTATTTCGTCATTTTCATCTTCTTTTTGACAATAATTCTGACATTTTGTACATATTTTAAATATTGTCAAATCTGAATAAATGTTGGACATGCAAGGTATTTCAATTT